CGACGTTTTTCGGAAAACGAAATTAAAAATTCATCCCTATTAAAGTGCCATCGTTTCTCAACGACGTATCCATTTCGACTCGAATATATCGGAAGGTTTAAAAAGGAAAAAAATGTGAAAACGGAACAAATTAGGATGCAAGAAGTCTGTAACAATTTTTCTCAAGGAATTTGATGTTTCTCAATTTGTTTGGACAAGTAAAGAATAATTTCTTTTACAATTTTCCACATGATCAGGTGATCTGGTAAATAGTATTTATGATAGTCAGCCTGTTAGACACAATTTTCAAAAATTAAACGAAAATTTAAAAAAAAAAAAAAGAGAAAAATCATCCTATCCTACATAGAATGATCTCCTGAATACAAAAATGCAAAAAGAGACAAAAGTCTGTAACAATTTTTAAAAATGAAATTTGAAGTTTCACCATTCCGTTTACCGGCTTTTAATAAAACACTTTTCCCTATTAACGAATCATGCGACGAGTTGTAACAATTCTTCGTAGCCAAAATAGGCAAAATACGCCTAATGAGCACTTTTTGTTCAATTGTTAACTAATAACATATTTAATTTTTAATAAACAGTCGCTTTTTTAAGAAAAAGTTATCGTATATAAATGAAACGTTGGTTTTTAAACTGGAAACAAAGGAAACTAAATTTATCATCGAATCGTCCATCTAGTATGTGGTAAATTATCTATCCTGGTCTATTTGGTTTTCAAGATTTTGTCCGAAAACAGAAAATGTCAATTATCAACAAAGCCCAATTAATCTTCATTTGTAATTAAAGAAACGATTTACAAATAACAATATTGAGAAAACCTGAAAATTAATAACGTATTCCCGCCTATTGCGTTTATAACCGATATAATCGACTAGGCATGCTTTGAATTAAATTTCGGATTACGTTTTGGTCGATGTTGTACCATTCCTGCATTAGCAACTCTCTCGGCTCTTGGGCAGTTCTTAGAGCTGCGAAACGAACGAATACGTCGTTCCATGTCATACCACACATGACTGCCAGCATTATCGTGCATTAAAACGCCATCTTCCCCATAGTGATCATTAAAGGCATAACTTAATCATTCAGGATTTCCGTAATGTATCTATGAATTGTCAGAAAGCCATTCTGTATAAAACCAAGTCTGTGATTGCTTCAAAACTGATATCCGCAGAAACCATGACCGAACCACCACCATGTGGACGTCTTTCATCAATACAACCTGGTGCATATCTTTGTCCGTTTCTCCTCTATACTCTCCGACACTCTGTGAGGCAAAAACGGGATTCATTTCGGGCAAAAGCTAAGCAATGGCGGCCCGGTAGCTATTCTTCGACAAGATAATCCATTAGCATAGCCTCCTTCTAACAGTTCATTTGCCAACATTAGCATTTCTAACCGCTTGAAGTTGATTTCGAAGCCAAACAGCAGAAGCTGTTCTATTCCCTGGTCTTCCATTGATGAAGTCAGTTTCCTCGTAGCGTTGGTATATATTTTGCACAGCACATAGACTCCTATGAACAATGTTTGCATTTTCCCGATTTCCTTGACCCTCTTGTATTAATGTACAGGGTTGCTCGTTTAAGAGGGGCCTATACCTTATCTCGAAACATACGGGTGTTAAAAAAAAAATCAAATGCAAAAGTTGTTTCTGTTAAAATGACCCCTATTTTTTTATTTTCCCAATCGTCACTTTTTTATATACAGGGTGGTAAAACAAAGTTACATTTTTCTTATTTTTATTTATTCTAATTATTTTATTATTTTATTTTATTTTTTTATTTATTTATTTTATTGCATTTTTCAAGACAAATTCAACGATATATGGGTCTATGATGCACGGGTTCGAACTTATTAGCTATCATCTTCAGAATTCTGGTTATGTTTAAACCATCATAGTTGAGTTGCTTATTACCTATTTAAACTTTTTCCCATTCACTATTTTTCTTGGTAATGATCGTTTTGCCACGTTTCGCAAAATGATACTTTTTGGATTTTCGACTAGCCGCTTTACTAGCAATTTCGTAAATAATACGTAATTTCATTTTCCTACTCCCGTCTGTAAAATACCTAATTACACACCCACCGATCTAGCGTGCGAGAAGCGTCACTTTACCACGTTAGTTTCGTTTCCCACGGATCCGAGCCACTTCGGAGATTTCCGGGATTTTAGCGCACGGGTTTGGGAGCACGCCTTGAGTTTTGACGTTTATCAATTCTGACGGTCATGTCAATGAATGTACTAGTGTTGTTTTGCAAAAATGTTCACAAAAACTAACGGTCGTAGAAAAAATATTGTATGCAACACGTTCGCTAAACTTTTTAACTCACTCGTTTAATAAAAACTCGCCCCGCTCGTGTCAAATAAACTCGTGAGTCAAATGCCGTTTACTGCACATGTTGCATGATATACTATTTCCTACTCCCGTCTGTAAAATATCTAAAATACATAGATTTTGCGGCACGGGCTTGGGAGCAATGGGATGTTTTCGGAGATATTTCTCACGTTTGTCAATTCTGACGGTCATGTCAGTGAATGTATTTGTGTTGTTTTGCGAAAATGTATCCAAAAACTAACGGTCCTAGAAAAAGTATAGTATGCAACACGTTCGGTAAACTTTTTAACTCACTCGTTTATAAAAAACCCGTGAATCAAATGACATTTACTACACTTGTTGCATAATAAACTATTATTGATAATTCATAAGATCAAGGAAGGAAAGTAGACATCGAAAATATGGAAAACATTCCGATATTTTCTTGCATGACAGCAAACAAATGTCTCAAAAGAATTATTGACTTTCCTGCTTGAACTTTATTCATCACATAATATTTTTTATTCGCGAACAACAATCGTTACAAAAGCTAACTTCTTGATAAAATTAATTAATAACCACTTAATAACATAAAGAGCATATCCCTGATTCTTATACTGCCAACAACAACAACTTTTGTAAGAGTTTCATAGCCTACTTGATACAATGATAAAAAAAATTGGCAAGTTTTGAACTTTCATATTTTTTTATAATTCACTCTATTGGTTTCTAGCAGATAATGCGTCAGACAGTTTCAGCTCGTGGAGTGTTCGATATGTTTGTAATTTCGTAATATTATGCGGGACGCAAATATTACGTTACATTATCGCTCGCAGCGCGCTGCGCGTTTAAAATAATTTTCGAAAATAAATAATCATTCGACAACGTTAATCCTAAAAGCAACGTCAATTTGGCTTGCGCGAATTTAGTAAATTGTGAAATCCGTTGTGAATTGTTAATTTACGGATTATATTGGCCCTGAATAATATACGTGAGTGCGGCCGGTTTTGGAATTTTGTTACGCAACGGGTTTTAATTTTTTAGTGCGACACAAAACGAATTTTTTTAATTTCTTGTCCGCACGGGATTCGATTATATAGGATTAATATTAAAGTTTGAAATGTGAGCCGAAGGCGATCTTTCGACGTGAAATTAATTAAAAACGTCTCTCAACTGATTGGTCTGAGCGACTTTTTTCGACAGCTATCGCGGACCGCGACAAATGCAAATGGCCAATTAAGTGGCGACAACTTCTGCTTTTTCGGGAAACCATAATCTAAATTTTAAATCACTTCGGTGCGAGACTGCTCGAATGCTATTTTTGAACCCTATACAAGACGTTTCAAATTTCAATATTTCAATTGATTTAAAAGTATCTATAATAAATTTTTAGCGCTTATTACTCATCAGGAGATTTGTGTATTTTGGTGATATTCACAGAGTGATACGTTTTAGGTGAACATTTTGTAAGTATTGAGAAAGTTTTGCCTGATGAATTTACCACCATGGCTGTAAGAAGACACATTTTGTCATCAAGTTTATTATTAAATTTTATATACACTTTTTACGCTATACGTAAATGGCATCTTGAATTTGAATCATCAGTTTTGTGGATAAAATTGCCGACTTTTGTATCGTGGGATGAATTTGATAGAGGCGGACGTCGATATCTTGCAACGCTAGTTTCAGCTAAAGATAACCTTAAACTGAAAAAAACTAAAGATATGCCATTTTCTATATGGTTCATTAAAATTATTTGTTATCCAACACATGCTTTTATAAATACTTTCAAACTCTAAAATGCATAATGAAAGCCAAATTAGCAGTAAAACTAAAAAAACCCTCATACTGAAACAAAAAACAAAGAAAATGATATCCTCTTTAAAAACGCATGGTGAAAAGTTAGTTATACAAATACAAATACTATTCTGATAGATTCTACAATATGCTGATTGAAAGAATTCGAAAAAGAGAGAAATTGAAACCATTTGAACATAAAACTGAAACTTGGATATTAAACAAAGCTAGGGTAGTTTTTAGCAACTTAATGAAGTTAAAAAGTCTAAACTAAAAAAGTAGACCTATATGTATTAATAATATATTTTTTAGGTTTTTGAATCAACCTGACCACGACGACTTTTTATGCTCTTTTAAAAATACGTTTTGTGACTCCTTAAATACGTCCAATTGGTTAGCAGCTGCCGGAAAAACTCCTTCGAATCAACAGCCTAAGAGACAAATGTTCATGTCGTCACTCTTACCTCCCAGAACACTAATTATCGGGACCATTAGTCTGGTGCTTTCTTTCGCGTACAATCTAAAAAGTTTACCCATCAGATATGTTCATAGTGCGAATTTGCCATTATCTGGTGTATAATTGGAAGGCATTCATTACGCACTATTTGGTCTATATCGTAATAGTGTGCCTTAAGTGATAATAAGATAAACAGTGTCACGACGGGAATTGGGAGGATGGCACGCAAGACGTCTAGTGTCAAGTACGTTGAAAAGTTGACTATGGTAGACTAAGATTTTGAGGAGTCTGTCCTGGCAGATCACCCGAAAACTCTCAGTAAGTAAGGTGTTGGAAGACTTCAAAAAAACAAACGTCAACTTTCCCTAGAAGTGATATGCTACGCTTCTCCGTTTCTGTGTTAGTTGTTCGGTAATATTAACTTGAGATTTTAGCAGCAGTCCAAGGGTCTCCGTCACCTCCTCTGCTGCGTTGAACAGAAAAGGTGCTACGTGAATCACTTCGTAGCACTCTACGAGCCGCGGCAGTGGATCTGCGCTGTTCGCTGCTCTACAGGTTATCCGCAGAACGTGCCCATCATGCAGAGCTAAATACAAAAAGAAGGCCCCAATGATTTGAGTTGTTTTAAAAGCTTAATTTAATTAGAATTATAGAATTATATATTAATGTTAATTACTATTTTGTTTTGTTTTGTAGATTTGTGAAACATACTTTGAATTTCAATGGTTAGGTTCAGACATTTTCGAGTTTTCTCAGTGACAATTTTTGTCAGGTTGTGAGTTAGAGGGCCACCCATTCCTTTAATTCAAGCCTCTTGTTCCACTTTTCTCCAAAGGTCTGGGAGGTTGTAGTCTACTGTTTTCTTAGTGACGATTAGTCGACTCCAATAAAGGACCGTTGCTTCATTTTTTGGGACAGCACATGGTTTGTGAAAAGAAAATTGGTCGATCTTTTTACCTAGATGGTTGCGTTTTCAACACTTTCCTATTATATCACCTCTCAGAATATGTTTTCATGTTTTTAAGTTTTTAAGCCTAAAGATTCTTCCTTGTCGACATTATCGTGATTTTTGTATGCAATATATTCAGTCTCTCTCATTTACCCTCTATTTGATGCTTGCATCCTTTGGGAGAGTAAATGGAGTGATATTTCTTTCTCAGTTAGCTATTTTTGGGATTCTTGGATGTAGGTGTTGTTCAAAATACGTTTTCATTTTTTTTTTAGATTTATCGGACCACAACCTGAGTATTATTATTATGAAATACGAAAAATAATTTATCACTTACAAACTGATCTGCCAAACTATTTATAAATAGGTGGCATTGGGGCGTTGGAAGTGATCATAGAGCAGTGAGAGTCATAGTAAAGTTAAATTTAAAGAACGAAAGAACGAAATTGGTAAAAAAAAGGAAAATGCTGAAATGGTGCCAACCCGAAAATGAAGAAGCTATAAACCGAGTCTTAAACGAACCTTTTCCGTCGGATATTGAAACCATAGATAATAAAATCAAAGAAGCGGTAAAAGTGGCTCAAGAACAGCATTGTGTTAAGGCAGGCACTACAGAAGAAAAACTACGCGAAAAAACCAAAAAACTAATAAAGGAAATCTGAAAATTCTTAGACAAAAACTAAACTATGGGAAAAAAGAAAATATTAAACAAGAAGACAAATAAGGCAATTTAACAACGAATAGAAGAGAAGAAAAGGAAACAGATGAAACACAAACTGGAAAACTCCAAGTAATAAACCAAGGATCTGAACTTATACCAAAAATAACAACGGAGGAGATGAAAAGTAGCCTACAAGAAATAAAGAACAACACGATAGTTAGGGAGGTGCCCTAGTAGTAATAGAAGCTATTAAAGTAAGATGAGAGAAACCAGTTAACTAAGTTATTTAATTTAGGTTTGTCCCCAAAACATGGAACCAAGCGATCACAATCCTATTACACAAAAAAGGAGATATATCAGTCCCTGAAAATTGGTAGACCGATAACCCTGTTGTCTCATATTTACAAATGGTTTACCAAAATCATCACAAAACTTTGATTGAAAAATGTTTCGAGTACACTCACTAACTTTGATATTTGTGGATTTCAGGAAAGCTTTTGATGCAGTGAAACTGTCCGCAATATTAAAAAAGCCGTATAGACTATAGATTTACGAAGTTGTTTGGAACATATATACAACAACTCAACAGCATCCGCTAAACTCCAGGATTTCACGGAAAAATACGAAATTAAAAAAGGCATCAGATAGTACCCCCTTATCTCATTTGCGCTTTGCCGATAATATTGTCATTACAGCCGCAAACTTAATTGAAGCATGGTAACAAACAGGCTAGTGAGACAAAGAAGAAATTTCAAGGCAAATGAAGATCGGCTGTTCATATAGCGCGCTTGAGATTGCTAGAATGAAGACCCTGAGAAAATAAAAGAAATCAGAGTAAACCCCCAACAAGATGGGAAGACGATCTGACAAAAACAGCAACTGGAAGCAGAAGGCACAAAACGGAAAACTGTGGATGAAGATGGAGGTGACCTATGTCGAACAGTGGAAACAAGAGGTTTTCGAATGATGATGATGATAAAAAAATATTATTAAATTATACTCGTTTAATTATTTTTTCTTATATTCATAAAATTTTGATATGCGCCTAATTTATTATCGCAAACGGCGACACCATATTGCCGCTTGGATAAATTTAAAAGTTACGAGATGGGAACGCGGCCGGGAAATTTCTTTTTTTTTAATAACGCGGCTGGCCCAACCCCGAAGAAGTTTTAAAAAGCGACGGCGTCAAAGCGGTTCCGCTTAAGTATCGGCGAGAACCGGCAAACATCTGTCCATATCTATTAACTTACCAGCGGCGTCGGCGTCGGAGGCATCCATTAGAAAATTGCCGTAATAACTCAAATGAGATATTACGGCCGACAGCTTGAGATATCGCGGGAACAATTTTAAAGTTTTGGCGGGGGGTGGGGACAGGGGGGACAGCCGCCGAATGGAGATGGCGCGCGGATCGAAGCTCATTAGAAAACTATGAGCCGAGTTTGAATTGAGCGCTCATTAAATTTTAACAAAAGTAATCGAGAGGAACGTTGAAGAGTGGGGCAGGGGAGACCGCGACTGACGAATTTCTATTAATTAACGACGCCCGGGAGGATCCAAAGTATTATTATAAGGTTTAATTCTTCTTTTAGGTTTCTATCAGTTCTCGGAAGCGTTCACAAAGTTGACGCACTAACCAGAACACAGACGTCCAACCATACAGAAAGAAAAGAAATAGATGCTTGTCGCTCATAGCGTCGCAACCATGTAGCTATTAGATAGATAGTTTACTTCCCTTAATTTTTTACGAACCTTATATACCTTACGCTGATAAATAGACATAAATTCAGCCATCGCTTACGGATATAAATAGATAGTAGATATTCAGTGGATGGAGTAGACGCTCGCATTTATGCATAGAAAAATAAAAGTCGGTACTTAATGAGCGGGTACATTCTCAAGGAAAGAGCAGACACTCACAAGTTGAAGCTTATACCGACATTTTTATGCATACTAAACGGAGAGGCTTCTTAAAAAATGTGAGTACAAAGTAGTCACTTAACTTTATGCATATCACCAAATATGGCGGCCCTACTAATGTAAAAAATTAAGCGCCATAGGCGGCATTGATATTTGCGTAGAGAAGGTCCATTACCTTTTAAGCGCATACCTCTACAACTCGCCCACCAACCTGGATTCTTTCGGTTTCACTTCAAGTCATCTCAATGTTTCCTAAAAACTAATATTAATTGTGATTTTATATTTGAAACTATTTTTTAATATATGTTATGATTAATATAATTATAAATAGGCATATGGTATTTAAATTTTTTAACAAAAAAATCTTACCAATAATTTTATATAATATAATATATAATATAACCGTTAAAAAATTTACGTTATTTTGTTTTGGGCAAAATTTTCTGTAAAGTAAATAATTTGTTCTCTGAGAGTTCCCGAAAATTCATATTTTGGCGGTAAAATTCCATTCCCACTCCAATCACGCTGGCAGCGCAGTAGGTGCAATTTGTTTCTATTGCACATGATCTATTACCATCTTTTATTTATGCGTCCAACTAAAAGACGTACCTCATAAGTTGCTTTTATTGTGATGCATTTAGCACAGGGTCTAGAGGGATGACTGGTGTTGACTAAATACGAATTGTTGCTGTGGTAACCAAGTAACGTACCAGGAAATAATTACGGAGAGGGGCAAGAAAGAAGAAAATTTTCACAATTGTATTACAAATAGTGAATTTGAGAAAATTGTAAACAAAGCAGTGAATTGTTAATATGGTGCAATGCGTATATAGTTTATTATGCAACAAGTGTGGTAAACGGCATTTGACTCACGAGTTTATTTGATACTAGCGGAGCGCAGCGGAGCGAGTGATTAATAAACAAGCGTCTTAAAAAGTTTACCGAACGTGTTGCATACTATACATTTTCTCACGATCATTAGTTTTTGAGTACATTTTCGCAAAACAACACGAATACATTCACTAACATGACCGTCAGAATTGACATATTTCAAAATTCAAGAAATGTCATTCGAGAAATCTCCGAAAACATCCGATTGCTCCCAAATCCGTGCGGTAAAATGCCGGAACTGTCCGAAGTGTCTCGAATCCGTGAGAAACGAAACTGACGTGGCAAAGGGACGCTTCCGGCACGCTAAATCGGTGTGTACTTAGGTATTTTACAGACGAGAGTAGAAAAAAACTATAAACATCTCTAGAAGGACTTCATTTTTGATAGAAAAGGCAACAAACGTTTAATTTCTTTCTCAATTTTTAATAAAATGAAATTTTTGTGAGAATGAGACGCATGTAAATACTTATTTCACTTGAAAAAGACACTTTTCTTAATATTAATAGAGTTAAGAAAACTATTAGTTAATTAATGTGCTATGTTTAATGAAATTGTTATAATAACATATACATATTTATATTTCTTATTTACTTATGATTTATATAAAAAATATTGCATATGCATAAAAACATTGTCTCAGTCCGTCAAGATATTTGCATCACTTTAAAATGGAAACAATGCCATTTGCCTTGCCTATAATCAAGAACTTAATCAATTTAATTGAATATCTAAAATGGCATAAAACAAAATTTGCAATTTTGAGATCTTTTCGAGTAAAGGAGTAAAGGACCGCTTCGATGAAAAAACAAAAGTGAACATAAAACCCGAGAAAAGGTCGACTGGCAGTAGGCTTCTGGGATCGGCTGGGCGGCGAGGGGTGGCGAAGGGAGACTTGCTATTTAATATAAAATTCTAGTTCCACGCGCGGAAAAATTTTATCAAAATATACATACATATAAATTTCAAAAAACATTTCCGCACCCGGTTGGGATTGAATAACATTAAAGACGCCGGGCGTCGAGGCGAATTTCCAGTGGAATTTTCTGGAGGCGGTTCGCGTCGCATTTAATAAACGTATAGAAATGGATTTCGTAGGTACACGCGAAATAACTTAAACTTAAAACCTTAAAGCGGCATAATGGAGGCGTTCGTATCGGAGAACTTGTTTA